CTTTTACTTTCTTCATAAAAAGTGGTTGCTTCTTCCATAACTGAAAGATTTCTTTTGATTGTACCTTTTCGTTTTCCCCATTGTTTCTACTATTACACTAACTCACACTAATCTGGTCGTTATTGTTCTTTTTTTTATAATTCCCTACACTCCTTACCTTTTTCCCTTCTCTTTAAATTCTCATTGTTTTGTGTGGCGCATATATATTTGGTGCCCCCTTGTACCAATATTTATGTGTTCAAATAAATAAAAATAAAATAAATAAACAGTATGGAGTTACCTGCAAAATATCACTTGATGTGTTATCAATCAGTATGTTTCAAAAAAACGGCCACAAAACCTTCAAGCAACTGAAAATTATAACCAATCATGCCATTAGATTGTGAAAACTGAGAAGGTATTATTGTTAGGGACACAATCCAAATAGTGGAAATCTTACATAATAATAGCTTTTAGATGATTATAACATTTGGACAGAGGCTTTAAGGGAAGACAGATACAAGTATGAAGCCAGATTAATCGATAGACTTACCTCCAACAGGGCGAGGTTATTTTATTCAATATCCATTTGTCGTAAAAAAATATGATGAGGAGTCATAAAAGGAAAGGAAATAACATCTGTTCAGTGAAAAATGTTGGAGTTCATGAACAATACACTGGCTGAAGTAAACTACACGTAAATCTTTTTAAAGAAGCACACATACACAATGAATTAAGATGCAGAGATTTGAACTGTTGAAAAGAAACCTTTATTCCTGAAACTACTAATTAACAGAGATATAGTTAGCGAAATTTCAAATGACAATATGTCTAAACTATACTTCTTGATCCCTTATTCATCCAGTTAATACTTTGACCAGTCATTGCATCAACTTACGAAGTTAGATCACACCAACTTTCCAACTGGCACATAATAATACATCATCTGAGCACAAAAATATGATATCATTGTATGTAATTGTCTAACTGTAAAGTATAAAATAATTCGTAAATATAAATTGCACCGTAATCCAACCAATGTTCTTAAGGTAATAGCAACAAAATATTCTTATTACATATATTGAAAAAAGTGCAAAAAATGATTTTCAAAAGTCCACCTATAGAATAAGTTGTTAAGTGTATTGTTATTAAGTGCGTTTTAAGGCTAAATTCATCATTCACTAACCAATTATAGATACTTCAGAAAAATAGTATAAATTCTCATAGGGCATGAAAATGATCTCATTGGAAAGTTCATACACAACTATGTATTGGCCTTGTTCTGGTAGTCCAGAATGTAAAGGATATTTCATTTACCCACAGGGTAGAAATGCACATCAGCTAGGATGTAATTATGCATTAAAAGATCGAATAAAAAGATGGACAGTTGGACTTAAAAAGAAATGTGGATTCATTCGAGAAAGGAATTATTTTACTAATGATGATGAGATAGGTTGTATTAAACTATCACGTATGAATGTTATGACGTATTGTAGAAAATTGGATTGAAGTTCAGTTTGTTTTGGACGTACCACCAATTATTATTTAATACAATATTAATTAGCTTTATTGTTTCTTTTTTAGTCTTCAAGCTGTTACCTAAATTAATAGTTTTTAGTAAAATAAGAAATTAACGACTTTTCAATTATCTTTTCTCTATGGCTCAAAAAAAGATCAGTACTATGACAAAAGAATACGATCAAAAATTTTTGATTGTCTTGGGGATATATATATATATATATATATATATTAAGAAGGATGTCACTGTACATTTAGACAAATGGTAAGTCACATTACGATATTTTAAATCTACTATTCATTACTAAGTAGACTTGAATTGTGATCATATATCATACACATGATCTTTATCTTTAAAATAAAATTGTATATTTCATTTAGTGACCAAAGTGAAGAAATACAAAACATTACTAACCATGACTTACTGTAAACTTATATTGTGTTGAGTGAACATTTGTTGGTAGACCTTCATTAGAGACCTCGACAAATCAGGATCAAATTATCGACTTTTCATTTTTTTTCGCGAAATTCATAACGTAACGATGAAAAACTTATTCAATTGCCCGAGCGCTAATATGAATTTTGAACGTATATGATTGTCAGCTATCTTCTTAGGCTTTGGCTCATGCTGTATTAGTTCTGTTTTCTTCAATATAAACTGTTTGCTACGGATTACTTACTTCAGTGTTTGATCGAATAAGTATTAACCACACTGAACACATCTTACAACACCAGCTAGCTTTTGACTTAAGAATATGAATGTAGAAAGGATCTTTATTTACGGTTTCAGTCGTGAAGGGTGGATAAGTCAAAGTTCATTCCGCAATCATAGAAAAAAAAGTCAGAAAATTACAAGGAGTGTCCAAATGGTGTATTGCTAGTTGGTTAGGAAGTACGTTTAAATAAATGTTATGACTGTATTTTGGTATAGAGCTTGTAAAGTGATCTAAATAAACATATAACTCAAAAAAGTATACATATAATGTTGATTTTTATGAATATTAATTCTTTGCAGTCACAGACCAGGGTTAGCTGTCTGATATTTCATCACTCAGTGAAGTATACAATTCTACTTGCAACAATAAAATCTCTTGCTTATCGATGTATTACCACTAGAATTCCACTACCTGTTGTCGTATGAAATCCGCTCAGTCATACACTTAGTAGGAATCATTTATAGGAGTATTTATGGTCCAATGTGTAACCAAAACACTAACCGATATTCAATTAAATAAATAGGTCTTTATAGCAAAAGTATTCTACTGAAAGTTGGAGTAAACTAATTTTTATTCCTTACAAAAACCAATAAGTTATGCAGAGTTTTCAAAAATATTTGAAGTTCATCACTTGTAGCCTCAGGCTCTTGGTTTGGACTGATTGATTATTTATTGGTCAATAAAGCTTATAAAATCCAATTTACCACGTCCACCTAAAAATTAAACCTAGAAGTTTTAAGTCAGTTTCTCGGCGAGCACCAGTTAGCTGTACCTTACTTGATCACAGTAGTTCTCACAAATTAGAATCTAATTGGAATCTGATAATAGGTTCACCAAGGAAATACTACCTATCCTTTCAGAGTAGAACAATCTAGCTTGAGAACTATAACAAAGTCAGGGTTACAAGTAATCCCTATTAATATATTCCTATATAAACATAAATTTAGAAAAAAGACTGTTTCACTACAATTCAATATTCTTGAGGAGTATGCAACCGTAGTGTGACAGGCTTAAACCCAAATAAATGAGTTATAATCCATTGATTTCTGGTAAATTCAGTTAGAAGCATTATAACAAAAGGCTAGTCAATCCCAAAGTAAGAGGTTCCATAATATTATTTCATACTTGTTTATATCCGACAAAATGTAGAAAAGCATATATGCTATTTGAAAATTTATGATGTATGTATTGAAAATTGTAATTTACACAGGGAGAGAAATTTTAATATAAAACTGATCTATGCTTTCTCAATCCTACTCTTCATATGAACCAAAAGGATAATAATTTTCAATTCTAATTATGAATGGATTCTTTCATAAGCCAATAAGCATTAGTAATTTTATTATTTCAAATACAAGTAATTTGGTTAAACTGAATCCTGAAATCACAAACCATATCATGTATGATACGTTTCATATAAGACAGGCAAAATACAAGACGTTCAGAGTATTTAAATTGATAAGGATTTATTTTACAAATAGAGATTTAAAACAAATCAACTATACGGATTATATTTCTAGCAAATATCTAGAATAACGTTCAATGTGTTTTATTAACTATAAAGATTATTTAAGTGATTTATGTTGTCTTTCATACCATTAACAACCATCCTTCGAACTATGTATGCATTGTTAACATCATATATGTAATGCAGGAATTCCTATTTCCTCAAAACACCAGTTGGGATAGAAAAGGTTAGATGAGTATTCACGAGAGCTCACATTAATCGGATTCATAATTTACATGAACACAATTTATAAATCTCAATAGATATATAACTAAGACATTTTGGGTTCAAAATTGAGTAACCTATATATAAGTTATTGACTGTTCATTACCAATCGATAAAATACATGGATTCAATTCAAATAAAGCTCACAATAGAGAAGATATGTATTAAAAATAGACTGTAGAACGATTATTTGATGAATACTACAAAAAGCAATACAGATTAAAAGACTAAGCAATAATTAGTCAACAACTTTCACGTGTTCCTAGGTTCAATAGATAAACAATAAAAATATACCGTTATTTCAGTACGATATGAACTTATACATAATTCACACTAATTACCAATAATTTCTGTAAAGAAATCATCGAAAGCTTGACGTTAATCGATTGCTGTTCCATCAATTTGTCAGTTATAAATAGTATTGACGATAAGACGAATAAATAGTATACATCTTAGAATTCTTTCAGACTACTCGAGTAATTAAAATATTGATTTGTTTTTCTGATATTTGTGTATATATGAACTCGACTATCTCAACTAGTGTTAAATTGATGATAAGGAGACAAAATCATGTTTCATTCTAATAATCATATCCTCCAGTTTAGAAATGAAGTTGAAAACTTTACTAACATTTTTATTTACGACTCAGTTGTGTGGTCCTAAGATAATAACTAGTAACTTGACAATTATACGGTCTGGAGAATCGAAAATACCTAGAATCAGGTGGAGATGTTACAACGTGTGAATTTCTAATGTCTATATGATAGTGCTTTTGATACAGTAGGTTTAAGAAAATTACAAATGTAATATTTGGATTCTCTAAGAAAACAAGTTAATTGTCTTCTTGCTTATGAACTGGTATCTTTCTATTTATTGTGTCTTGAATATTTCGTAAGATAACTACGTATCGAACTTATTTTAATCAATATAATTTCATTTGTTCATTAAAAGTACGCCTACTTTCTTGTCAAGCTTGCTTATGATCAAGGTTTTCAAAAGTAAATGTTCAAACTTAAAATATGAAATAAATGCAATAATACAAAAGGAAAGTGACTGATGGTTAATATCTCCATTATATTTGTTTAGATGCTTACCACTAAAATTAGATGAATTGACAGTTAGTAGCAATTATACAACCGTTTAATAAACACACATACACACACAAAGTGACTAGAATTACACACGACAGTCAGGGGTATATTTAAATGAAGATAATTAAGTATCGGTACTTGTGTACGTGAAAAACGAGTCCATAAAAATTAGATAGTAGCAACAATAAGAACAACAGTTCGATAATTAACGATATGGTTTAACATGTTACCATGATATAAGATATATCATGAAAACTTACAAACAGGTTTGTAATAACAAATAAGAAGTGGAAATGAGTTACGTAATAGCAAAAGCATTGACTACACATAATATTTATCACAATTATATGCAACATAGAACTGATTTTACATGTTTTCTTTTTTCTGTTTTGTAAATTGAGGCACTATGTAAACACATATACCGATCATTTGTGGAAAAGGACAAACCCAACCAATTCGATAAGATAATAATCTTCGAAGTTTCCCTGAACAATGACATTTTATCAACCTTCGAAATTAATTAAATTAAGGTGATCGTAATAGGATTAAACGATATACCGCACAATCATTTCACACAGTCCAACTGTGAATAAGAAATATTGACAAAACAAATATATACTATTTGCTAGACAATTAAGTAGTTCATGTTATAAAGCAACAAAATCATTAGAAATGATAAGATGGATGTCAGTAATTTTCAACAAAAAGATTAGCACGTAGTAAAGTACAAATGAGTAAGATACACCTTAACAAATAAGGATGAATGAAATCTGAAAATGACGTAACTGATAAAGAGAATTTCAAATTAAAAATCAACAAGATAATTGTTTTTTGCAAAGGTCAATGATTAAAATTAATAATAATAATAACAATAATAACTCTAGAAATCAATTAAATAAAACAATTAGGGGTCATATGATCAAGAATCCAATCAGCTGCAGGTTCCAATTTCCAATTGAATGCACTAATAATTTGACAACATGAATCCCAATTGATTAAGCCTAATTGATAAAGACGACAAACAGATAAAAGGCGAATGGCTAATTGTACACGCCAAGCACTAGTTCTGTCTAGTTTGGTCCGCCAAGTTTCTATAGGTGCAGTGCATGGAATTGGAGGTACAACTAATTGAGATATGACTGGAGAAAATGGATTCATTACATGTAATAATGCCCAATGAGCTTCAAATAAAGTGCATTCAGGAACATGGGAACGAACAAGTGAAATCTAAAATGCAAAGAGAAACACTGAATGTGAACAAATTCGCAAAAACTAATAAGAATTATATATATATATATATATATATATATATATATATATATATATATATATATTAGTTTTTCAAGTCTAAAAGTGTTCTACGTATATCAATAGTTCATATAACTCAGTTCAATTAATTAGTTTCTGAAAGAATAAAAATGGTAGAACTTCATGAAAAATCTCATAATTTCCAAAAATGAAAGAAAAAACCAAGGCTTAAAACCTATCCAAATATTCCAGCCATCATAGAAATCGAATGACGAAGTGTGAAGCAAATATATTTGGTGCCTCCTAGTACCAATGTTTGTGTTCAAATAAATAAATAAGCAAATAAACTGAGCTATTAAGAAACATAAAGAAGAACACAAGTGTTGTATCACACCACAATCAAGTAATTATCATGAGGGATGTAAATGTTGTCAAGGTTCAAAGTAAATTGATGTTAGTTTGGATTTTTTAAAATAAAAAAATACACAATCAATAAGACATGAACAAACCAAAAAATTCTTATGCAGCTAAAAACCTTAATAGCATATTGAAAGCCAAGTAAGTAAACAAATACCTTAGACAAAATAAAATCATACAATCATTTCTTTTAAATGGTTGACTGAAAACAAAAATATGTCTTTGAACTTTTTATCATCGATGATACCTTGAAAAAAGTTTTAAGAATAGTTCATGAATAGAATAAAGATTTATTTATTAAAACAGCATAATTTCATTTTTGCATATATAAAAAAACGGACTAAGTTATTCTAAGTAAAAATTTAACATATAACTTTAGGAAGTAATAAATAATCAACTAAAGTAATTCTTATTACAAAGAATATTTAAAAAGAATAATTTAATAATGGTAAATTATGTTTTGTTCATCCTAGGTCAGCTAAAACGTAGCACACCAGGCACATTTATGCATCGGTCCAAGTTGCCATACCGCATTAGCACAACAAGATAAACACCGAATTCATAAAAGTAGTTAATTTAATGGTGGTAATATATATAAGAAAGATTGAATATAAAGACATAGTACAGAAAGAAAGATATGAAGCGATTTTAATCTCATAGTTTAAGGGAAAACCGAGAGTGTACACACATACGTCGTAGTGATCGATTCTGAGCCATGTCACCCACAGTCTCCAACTATTGGTTACGAGAGTCACAGGGACCCCAACCAAATAGACTGCATCTACCAATATGGCTCACACCAGAAGTCAGTGATTTCATGCACTGATGCAACGTTTTAGTTTGGCCTCCTCTAACTTTCTTCCAACCATCCTCTACACTAGTTCGTATTGAGCGACGTGGTAATCGGTGTTCAGGCATACGCAACACGTGGCCCAACCATCTCCTTCGATGGAGATTCACAAGCCCATCAAATGATTTATCATCATTCCTTAATACCCTGTGTCTAACCCGGTGATCCCAGCAGATGTGAGCAATATTTCTAAGGCATCTGTGGTCAAATACTAGTAGCTTACGAATATCTTCTACTTTCAGTGGCCACGTTTCGCAGCCGTAAAGTAAAATAGAACGAACTGCCGCGCAGTATACTCGTCCTTTAATTGATAGACGGATATCTCGCCTTCGCCATAGGTGACGTAAGTTGTTTATATTAAGTATATTAATCATTACACATACATACACACAAAAAAAGAAAAACTAACGGACTGTTTTAATAACATAAAACCAATTGACGAGTAAATATTATAGCCACTAAGAGCAAGAAATTTTAAAATTGGTGAATTATATCAAAATGAATTTCTCAAAATATAATTTGTAAAAAATCTTACTTCATCATTAAAATTATCTGAACAATTAAAAAGGTCATGTTGATTTCCATTCACTTGATGCTGAGGATTTACACCTTTAAAAAATTGTATAAGAAAACAAATGACTAATTTATACTCGATAAAGGAAAATACAATGTAGACTAAACTAGTCAGATTTCCTTAAAGAGCATAAAATTTATGATATAACTGAGAAGTAAATTATCATCTCCATAATAGTGCCATATCAAGTGACTACAACATCGTCTTCTCCGAAGGATTGCTGACATCCAGTGACAACATCGTGTTAGTAATGCAGAGGTTCGGCATCGTGTGTTCGGGCACAGAGACGATAATGCAATTGGTGTCATCATCTTGAAACACCGACTTCGGTGGCTTGGACATGTTCTACGAATGTCGTTCCAGAGAATTCCACGTCGTGCATTATTTGCCGACTCTGGGAATGGTTGGAAAAAGCGGAGGTGGTCAGTATATGACATGGTGTCGTGGTATGAAAGAAAGCTGTACAGGACTGGCTTCACGACTACGTGGTTGGGGTCCTAGATATGGTGTAACACAGGGGCTAGAGACGTTATCATATGTGGCTTAGAATAGAAGCCAGTGGTAAGTTGATTTTACTTTCTTCATAAAAAAGGACGTAACTTCATTAAGCGGAAGAATTCTTTGTGGCTTTACTTTTGCTAATTCAATTGTCTCTCCCATTACTATTATTTAACTATCATACACTAATTTCTGTTCATTGCTGTACTTCTTTTTCTTTATACACACCTTACATTCTTTATCTCTTCATATTCTCATTGGTATTGTATGGCGTATATCTGGTGCCCCTTTGAACCAATATATATGTGTTCAAATAAATATAAAGTACAGGAAAAGCCTTAAAATGAACAATCATTCAGTCAAAAGTAAGTTCATGTAATAAAGATAAACTACCTAGTTCAACCACCTATATATATGAGCTCATATGACGCCGTAGATCAAGTTATACTTGGTGTATAACACAGAAAATACATTATACTAGTTTTGAAAATCTCCTGGTCGATCAAAAGACAAAAGAGAACAATTAGAAGTACTATTTAGGGATATTTAATTGATACTAGTGACCAAGCTGATAAAAATCCAACTTTGAAAATTATCCACAGATTTAGTCTTAAGATTTCAGCAATCGTTTACTACATACATACAACAGAATCTATCCAAATATATATAAATGAACATAATCTTTGTGAACAAAAAACGTTTGTTAAGCCTTTTAAATTTACCTTGGCTTTCTACTTTAATTAAGCTTACCATTCGCAAAAATGTGTCCGGTTCGTTCAATTTTATTCCTACGAAATCTAATTCAATAACTCTTATTTATATCTCACTGGTTGCAATAATTAATTAATTAAGTTCCTTTGAACTTTAATTTAGCATTTGTTTAGTTAATATTAATTATTTTTTCGAGAAAATACTGAAATATATTTTCTTTTGAGATTAGTTCCTTACTACTTATTATTATTTATAAATGTTATGCTTCAATGTAAACCTATATTAATATTAGTGTGTAGAGCAATGACAAGGAACTAATTGAAAAGAATTATCTTTTTTGCTTAATATGTATTGTTAGAAATAAACATTGATACTTTAAGTAGAATAAGCTACACAAAAAGATTCGAAGGAGAGACTGTAATTTATGAACGAATCAATCAGATATAACACAACAGGTCTTAGATTTTGGTGCGAAATTCATTCATCTATTTGGCTAAACAGCGTTTGGGTATTTGAGCTGATATCAGGTCGTGATGAAAACCCTAAATCTAGCTTCTAACCCCTATTTAGTCCTAGTTAGTAGGTGGATATTCTCAGGGTCACTTTAGAGTCGCTCAAAGGTTGTCAATAAATCATAGTCTCATCGATCTGAATATTATTGTATATTTAAGTTATAAAAAAACTGTATGATTTGTAAACCGTAAAAAGATTAACTTAGTTGAGAGAAAAATCTGGTTGAATTTAGATTAAACATAATTCATAAGATTGATATCATATTTTTCGATGATGATCATTAAATTCAAGTCACCATAAAATCTGTAAGTTGATAGTCCATGTGTTGTGAAAAAAAGAACGGTAAAAGTTGAGACGTATAGGTTTTTCTGATAAGTTATCTTTCCTTCTGATATATTCTGTTAGCCATCAGTGTTAATATCACTATTTCATCTATGAATTTGAAGTCATTCGACTCTTTAATTAATATCCAAAACAAATATTAAATTACTAAAATCCCCACAAAACCCACTTCTGATAAATAATTAGCTAATCAAAATTAACGGAAATGGAACCAACATGCAATTAGTAAGTAATCCAAAAGGTGGTATATATAAAGAATATGATGTATACATTTCAAAAGTTTATGTTGATAAGTACGTAAACAGATTATGTAAAATATAATTTAATTCTTTTTTTCTTTAAAAAAAAACTTTACCTGAAGTTATATCATTTTCTGAGACAGAAACCTAGACAGAAATAAAACAAGAAAAACAAATCAAATTATATAATTATCTCACAATAACAACATTCTGAAAATGAGCACAATATGAAATTAATTTGATTTCTCGAATATGTATTAATCATTGATAAGTAGAGAAAATAATCTATCTGTATTTTATAACTCACAGTTTGTTTTTAATGAATAGTTATCTCTGTAATAATTCACAATGCCAGTAGTAACACACAATGCTAATAAGAAGAATGCATCTCGTAGCAGCAATTATAATAAGTTTGAAATGATTATAATCTTTATCAGAAGGGTTTTGTGGATATTGTAGTAATTTCAGTGGTTCAGATCATGAGTCAGTTGATCTCGCCCCCTGCGAGATTCGAACCCAGGACCTACCAGTCTCGCGTGCGAGCGCTTAACCACTAGATTACTGAGCTGACCAGCATCCAATGGTGTAAATGTCTAGCTTCAACTAATCCACGAAATTGAGCGACACATCCACTATTGTCCTCAGTGAGTTCGAATCTCGCAGAGGGCGAGATCGTGGATGTGTAGTGCTGAGTCCCACGACAGGACTTCCAATGCATAGTGTGTTATGTCCTATGGCCCGTCAAATAGTGAACAGTAGTGAACACAAATTTGTCTCATTTTCGAAATCCTTTATTCCATTTAGATGTTCAGTGGTTCACATATTGATTCACTTATATATTTATTATTCAGTTACTAATTACTTTGATCCATATGTAAATAATTAAAACACGAGTGCTTATTAGTTTTGATAGCATTTTAATTTGTGAACTATGAAGAAACACACTAAGTCGATTTCCATAAACAGTTGTGACTCAAACGACACGTCATGTCTTGTTACATTAATTAATTAGCGTCCCATCTATCAAGGATTAAATCAATCAATAAAGTGGTTAAAACATACGAACATTTCTAGTTGAATAGCATTAAAATGTCAGGGAAAATTCAGAAAATAATGCAATCAATAAGGGCATTTTGGAAGCTTACATAAGGAATCAAGGGAATGAGTGGTAATGTTTTTCTTAAGACTAATCGGAAAATTACTGAATATATCAAGAGTTTTTGCTTAAAATATCAAAGTCACCCGGGATCTTATAAAATAATGCAGTTTTTTCTGTACATATTGGGACCTATGAAGTAAGGTTTGTTTTATGTTTCCCACCTGTTATTCCATTGAGTTTTAAAAGTAGGAGACTTTTGTGAACTAGGAAGCCAATGTTTAGGCATTTGAGTACAACACATCAAGCAATTATTACGCACACATGTACACAAACAATAAACTGATGAAAAAAGTAAAACTTTCCAATCAAATCCATATGATACAAACACAAGTTTTTATATATTGGTAGAAATCAAAAAAATCAAATCACACATGGGTAACAAAATAGTGATCTGGATCAAACACCATAACGAATAAAAACGGCAAGAATAAAAGTGCAACGTAGATTCGAAAGTCTCGACAAAACTCACCCAGTCTAAAACCCAACTCATACTGCAATAAGCATAGATTATAACTCATTGTTATGAAATCAAGAAAAATAAAAGATGACAAACAATACAGACAGTTCAATGTGATAGTTTTTGTTTGTAAATTAAAAACAAGTGACATTAAATAGATATTGATGATATAAAGTGAAAAAAGAACATCACACTAGAAATGAAAACAAGAACCAGTTTGGCAAATTATGTTATATATATATATGGAATAAAGACTTTGGAAACATTTCAGTCAGTCAGCTACAACGTAGGACCAGGCACATTTATGCATCGGTCCAAGTTGCCATACCGCATTAGCACAACAAGATAAACACCGAATTCATAAAAGTAGTTAATTTAATGGTGGTAATATATATAAGAAAGATTGAATATAAAGACATAGTACAGAAAGAAAGATATGAAGCGATTTTAATCTCATAGTTTAAGGGAAAACCGAGAGTGTACACACATACGTCGTAGTGATCGATTCTGAGCCATGTCACCCACAGTCTCCAACTATTGGTTACGAGAGTCACAGGGACCCCAACCAAATAGACTGCATCTACCAATATGGCTCACACCAGAAGTCAGTGATTTCATGCACTGATGCAACGTTTTAGTTTGGCCTCCTCTAACTTTCTTCCAACCATCCTCTACACTAGTTCGTATTGAGCGACGTGGTAATCGGTGTTCAGGCATACGCAACACGTGATATAAATAATTTACTATAGTTCTCCATAATAATGATAATATAGTAACAACATAAAAATAAATATTATGCCATAGTATTTAATAGTTTATATTTGAATTTATTAAATCAACTAGAATTTAATGTACTGAGTAACATAAAATAATACAGGGTTAAACTTCATTTAACTGTTCAACCTTAGTTAAGTATAACAAGAGTAATCTTTAATAAAATGTTAAGACATTGATATTTAGTTATGTAATGATATACACATCATGAGATTAACATTCAGCTGTGTTTTTATAAGATGAATAAAGTTGAGTATGACACAAACGTACAAATTTCACTTGAAAGTTACAATAGTAATACAATTGAAAAAAAAACTTTTTAAAATAATGTATTTTGAATAAAAATGAAAACTTTTGACTTATGGCCGCTGTCTAATATCACGTGGCAAAAACAGTTCAAATCTGTCGACACTGGGTTGTTTCCAGTGCTTTATTCAGTAGTTTCTCTCCCTGCCCTTCCCCTTGAGTCTAGAACACAGTAATCAGTCTTCACTTTACAAATATTATATTTCATACATACGTAGTTTACAGACATATCATACCATAAGATGAAAAATAACAACTACATATGATCAAGTCAACAAAGTGGCTGCGAGTACGGAAGACTGTGAATAATAAACTGGCGATAGATTAAGAATAGTAAATCATATAGCGAAAATTTATGATAAAAGGGATATTAACATATGGTAATCTAGTTGTTGAATAATTATATATAAATAATGATAGTTCATAAATTAGTCCTGGGAGTTATCATCCCTTTAATCTTCATCTCGATATAGCAAAAAGACAAAACAAGAACTGATGACATGAAGAAGCAAAGTGAATAATTTCATAAAAATTGATATGAGGTAAAAATCAAAGACAATAAAATTAATAAACAGTATTTAAACAAACTGAAATAGTAAAGTTAACTAAGCAACTACAATAATCATTATTAGTTAGAAATCATTGGATGGTTAGCTATTTAATAATTACAAAATTCAGTGATACTTATGAAGGTTGGCAAGCAAAAAGAAGAGCACCGGTTAAAAGCACAGAAAATATGATAAAATAATCATTAATTATACTTGTATATGTATATTAATAAACGGCAAATAACTTACGCGACTACAGATATTTAACGAATCTGATTTTGAAATTTCATTTAAGCAAAATAAATACAAGTATATAGGTACATCACAATAAAATATAAGTAAATACAGCGATGGAAATAAAATAGTAGCAAAGTGATAGCCCAACAATAAAGATATTTATAGTTTACATAACGAACTGATATCTATCACACTAATAGGAATGAATGTTTACTCAATATTACTAGTCGATCAAAGTTAGAAATATAAATTACTAAATGGTTACACAACGTCTCTTCTAACTATTGGTTATGATAATCACGCGGACCACAATCAGGTAATCTGAACCTGCCGACATGACTTAGTTCAAAAGTCAATTAGTTCATAGACAGATAACTCCTACTAGTTTGACCGCTCCTAACTTTCGTCTAATCAAAACTAGCTAGCACCAGTCATAGAATGGATAATCCTAAAAAGTGAAACCATTTATTCACAACCATAATGTAAAGTTTAAATATACATATACTTGTTAAATTATGATATTTTCTTATAACAGTAGTCAACAAAATTATTTCACAATATATTAAGCTTACCGTAACAGAACTAGTGAATTTATCATTTGTCGAATTGAAAAAGCTAGGATTTAAATTCATAGCTTCTGATGAGTTAGTAGGAGGACCTAAGAAGACACAAAAAGAATAATAACTAAAAATGGAAATAAAGTGATGGAAAATACTTATCAAGTATTTATGGAATGCTAAGTAAAGTGGTTATACTTGCATATGAAACACATTTGCTTATAATATTTAATTAGTATGATTACGAATACAAAAAGTGAATATTAACGATTATTCCATAATAGTTGATAAAATAATAAACAGAAAATATCGATTATTGCATATAGAATTTACCTAAAAACCCAATAATTCATAAGACTGAAGCTCTCTATTGAGCCTCTGCAACGATAGTTGTTTGTAAAATAATACATTATACATCGATCGTTGAGCTGATTTCGGAGGTTGTCAAGTCAATGAAAAATGCCTCCATCTATATGCCTCGAGTTGGATAAAAAGATTTGTCCAAGTATATATGTAACAGATGGTTATTATTATTAATTAGCTTGTTTGAAATACTATGACCTGATAGTGCCCGGGTGCCCAAACCAAAGCAGGGGGCTTCTTTAGGAGACCTCACCTAGAGTCCTCGACCTAAAGGTCTGATCCATAAGGCAGTGGATCAACGTCAGGAGATGCAGTCCCATGGTAGCCGGTCGCCAATGATTGGTTCCTACGCCATTTGTCACCTCAGAATAGTGGAGCCCATGTGCATCATTGGTTTGGAATCAGGGCCTTCCAAACCCCTAAGTGGACCCTCCGTGACCACCGACCCAGTTAAAGTACCGGATATTCGCTCTTCGTCCTCTCAATTTCGTAAACAACACCCCCGCCGCGAGAAGGCCGTGAGTAGGACTTCGCTGGCAGTGGTTGTATGTACGTGGACATGTAAGAGCATTTCAAAAGGGAGAACTGGCTCTCCTCACCGTCGTCCTTATTACAAAGGTTGTTTCTATCACGATATTTAGATGATAAACTATATATTTTCATTTCAACTTAACGATAATCATTGTTATTCTGTTCATTCTATTCATAATATATTCCTCATGTTTTATAAATTTTTTTTAATATTTAATTGTTTATTTAAAATTATTCAATCGAATTTCATAAAGAAACTAATGAAATTCTAAAAAACAAACATTTTTTAAAAATTCTTTGATAATTTATATCTATATATACGATTGTACAGCATTGAAAAATATTCCTTTACCGAATAAAATCTTTTTATGACTAAAAATGGGTATATTTTATTTAATATAATTAATTAAAATAATTCACGTCTTTTTAGATTCTATTTGCCAGAATTAAAAGAAAAATATACCACAGTTACTACATAAAATGTTAATTTACATCTATGTTTTATCAGTATTTATAAGTCTTTCATCAATTATTAAGCAATTTAGATCAAGATTCCTTAGTCATCATTGTAATTTTGTACATCTATTGCACATTTTATTCTGCCAACATGAATATAAATAAATGTAAGCCAAGCAAAGACCTACTGTAGCAGAAGCCTCTGAATCAGTAGGCCTCAACATACACAAGGCAAAAACCAAGATTCTCATATACACAACAAGGGGAAAACCAACCCGATTACACTTAATGGAGAAAATCTGAAACAGGGGGAAACTTTCACGTACCTGAGAAGCATCATCGATGAACTAGGAGAATTTGATGAAGATGTAAGAGCAAGGATATACAAAGTAAAGGCCGTATTCCTACAGTTGAAGAACATATGGAATTCAAAACAACTGTCAAACAACACCAAAATCACAAACTTCAATACGAACGTCGAAACAGTTCTATTGTACGGAGCTGACACTTGAAGAACTACCACAACCATAATAAAAAAGCAAAAGTATTTATAAATAATTGTCTAGGAAGGATACTCAATGTCCGTTTATCGGATACCATCGGCAACAACCTACTGTGGAAAAGAACGAACCAGCTTGAAAATGAAGAGGAAATTAGAAAAATTTGCTTCAGGTGGATAGAACAAACATTGAGGAAATCACCGAATCTCATCACGAGGCAAGCATTAACTTGGAATTCTAAAGGGAAACAGAAATGAGCAATATCAAAGAACACACCGCGTCTAGAGTTGAAGGCAGACATGAGAAGGATGAATAACAACTGGAAAGGATTTTCCATGAGAGATCGGTGGGGAATACTGGTGGGCGGCCTATGCTCCTTCACGAGAGGTAGCAAGCGTAAGTACATAAGCAAAGACCTGATATTATCAGAACAGACAATAAATACTAACGATTAAAATCATGTATATAATGTACTACGGATAAAAGTTGAGTATATCTGAAGTATTTTTAAATATATAGAAAGAAACTGACCAAAAGAAAAAGAACGAATTAAGACAATAAAAGTGATTTCCGTTAATCTCATACCAATGTAACGAGTAAGTAAAGTCGAAGCTTAGCTAATTGTTTAAGCTTAGAAGTAGATTACGTGATTTTACGGAAATCCAAAAGAAAATGATACTTCTCATGATAAAAAAGCTTACAAAATAGCAGAAAATACGAGTAAACTCACATGATCTAACAAGTAATTCATTTTCTAATCTAGTAGTGCAATGATGAACATTTTGTTTAGTTGAAAATACTGGACTACTAACAGTCGGTGTTTGATGTGAGATATTATTATTATCCTTGTTATTATCGAACACCATATCTAAAATGTCTAATTTGGTTTTATGGTTTAGATTATTAACAGTGATATCAATTTTATCGACGCACTGGGAATGTTGTTGAATATTTAAATTATTAAAATTAAAAGGATTATCAGAAAAATTAACTGAATTTGTTTGCTTTGTTGATTGATTAACACTAAAATTGAATGAAGAAGGAAAAGGGAAAGATGTACAGTATGATCTTTGCATGTTAACTTGAGGATGAAAAGGATCATAACAATATCGATTTTGAGTGTTATAATTGAGCTGTGATGAAACATTATAATTCATTTGTAAAAATGGATTTAATGAATAATTGATAGTAGACGGGGATACAGTTCTAGGAATAAATACAGAAGAATTAGGAGTAGGTTTAATGATCGATGGAATGTAAATCGGGGCGGTAGGAACCTAAACAATAAAACAAAAATAGGTAATTAACAGAGTTAAGTGCAAGTAAAATGGAAGTAAGAAGAAATTAACCCAATATTACACATGTTAAAGTATCGGCAATGTTTCCTTAGTTACTTTCAAACTGGAGACTGATTACCCGTTAACCTATATGTTTATAGAGATTTATGTACAAAAGCAACTTATATTTCAAAAAATAGAAACAAGTAAAACTAAGATCGTGTTTCCATCACATTTCTAAAATTAATACTAACGTTATAAACTAGTTTTATCATCATTGTTACGAAGAAAGTAAGGAGAACCACTGAAAGGCCTCGGTGAAATGGAATCTAATAGAGCTACAGTTTTTTCATTTGATAGTTTGTAATTTATAAGTTTCAGATTTTGATATCTATGATATAGGATACAATCTATGACAGTCGAATACCGACCATACAGAAATTTAAATATCACTAAAAATAATGAAATGTTTCAATACTTCAGTTTCAAATGAATGAATACAACGAAGTAAACACATGATTTGTGAGTAACAGTATGGGGAATTATTATTCAAATGACCAAGATGTAATAAGTTAAAAACTTATTAGGCATTTTGGTTGAGAGTTGTTTTAGTAATTCTGGATACTTATTAAATAATCCCATACAATGTATTAATTGCAATAAAATCAATACTGGTAGTATTATGAATCTGATAAGATGGTTAGATAAGGTATTAATTAACTAGAGTGAGAGTGACCTACAAAATTGGTTAAATGTAATCGCTTATGACATCCAATCATGTATATTTCTCTGTAATGAAGTTATAGCAATTAGTCCCCTTTATAAATTTCGATGGAACAATGAGAAGTCGGAGTTGATGTGGATAAATAAGTCAAATGTAAGCACTTTATATTATCAAATGAACGAAGTCTATTCTACTGGGCAGCTGTATTTCCTTCTGAAATCGGTTTCATTAGTGGTTTAAGTCAACGGTTCCGTCATGTGACCAGCCATCACTGTACATCATCTACCAATTGAGATTCTTTTATCTTATTTTAACAATCGAAAATTTATTCATAACATGAGAGGATCAAACATCGGTTTCATATCCCTGATTCAAAAGGTATTTTTCATATTAAAAAATCGAAAACTGATTTGACATTGAAATGTGATTAACAACTGCGTTACAAATAGTGACACAACTAATCAACCGAAAACAAAATAGCTTGAATTACGATGAGAATTTTCTGTCCGCTTTTCTATTCATTTCCGTTTAACAACACCAACCAATCAACCAAGGTCAGACTAGAGATAATCAAAATAAACTGAGGAACAAATTCCCAAATGATTACTTACCGTAATACGATATCTGGGGATAAATGCCGGCGGATCAGGTACAGGACTGTAAAGATCAATTAAAGGTGGGGCTGATGGTTGGCAATCAAAATCTTTGGCACTGATAGAAGCAACTTCATCTAATAAATTGTCAAGCGAAAACGAATGTTTTTTCGAAGGAGTTATACTTTCAGAAATTGATGATGTATTGTGTTTTTCAACCTGATGACTATTACTCATTGTACTAAATTCAGATTTATTAAGATTATTATCTTTATCAGGTAAATGTTCGACATTATCTTTAAATTTTGTAAATTGTACAGAAGTATCAGAAAACTTTTTGTTGTTAATGTCATCTTTGCAGATGACAGTCTCATGTTCTTCCGGTCCAGGAGGTGGTGGCAACATTGTTATGGGGTTATAAATACAAACTGCAGAAAATGGAAAGAGAATAACATGATGACCAGAAGGAATACGGCCGTAAATTCAACTTCTATATACTCCCACAGTAAATAGGACCACTGAACTTATAATAATATTGTCCTACACATAGGTAATAACACAAAAGACCTGTTATCCTGACACTTATTGGTACATACCGATTCTTCTATGCTCCAATGCTCAATTATTGGAACTCGAAAAGATATATGGTGGTATGAGTTAGTTACAAGACATACCGTCAATAGAGGAACATAAACTGTTTATAAATAGATCATTTACAGTGTAAACTTGAGTAATAGGTGTATGATTAATTGATCATAATTTGTGAACGCTGAAAGATCTATGATAAGAGCAATCTGAGAACACCATAAAACAAAATATTTTATACATAGACAATTAAAATAATAATAGCTCAAAGTAGTATAGTTCTAAAAGTTCCATGTTTGTTACTTATCTGCCCATTGTCTAATAAATATTAATTTCATTTAATGAGATCATTGACCGATCAATGTTAGACCACCATTGAAAACCTGGAAGCACTATACGACCGTTTCATTCTAGTATGGGACTGCTCAGCAGTGTACATTCACAATCTTGCAGTCGGGACTTGAATACAAGACCTAAGGTCTCGTGCGCGAACGCTTAAAATATAGACTACTAAGCCGGAATCCAACGGTGTTAATGTCTAATCTCAACTAACCAACGACATTGAGCGACCATCTTCCATTATCTTCGATGGATAACTGCCTCACACTGAACACAGTTGAACTTCACTGGTCATGGCTTCTCAGCAGAATCCCGAAAAATCCCTCCCGAAGATTTTGGGGTCGTGAATGCCTACTGCTAGGGAGTCCCCATACTAGGACGAAACGGTCATCCAGTTCTTTTAGGTTTTCAATAGTGGTTTAACTTGGATTGGTTCATGATCTCAATAAAAACTAAAAAAATTTCTACAACCGTATGCTAATAAGTTCATTTAATTTACAGTCAACCACTGAGGTTTATATTATTATTTTATGAAGACTAGTGATTCTGTATGAATTATCGGATCGAAATAAGTGCATTTGGAACTCAATACAACGTGGATGAGTGTCAAGTAACTGAATGACTTATTTGCAAATCTTAAAATAATTCAAAACTTGTATATCATATTCTTAGTTGAGTTTAGGTATTAACTGGTTAAAATGATATGTTAAACGTACGATACTGTTATTTAGTTTCTCAAAATGATTGATATCTAGAAAAGATTGAGTACTTTCAACCCATTACAATTATTTTATTATGAACAAAACTTTACGAATGTTACAATTCTAGAAGTAGACAAATTAAGTATACAACTTTGATAATATCCTTTCAATTATCATTAAAAATTTATTTTTTAACGTCAGCGGATTACTGACAGATTTCAAAAATGTAACTTGTATGCAAACACTGACTACGTGTTCTACTGAGAACCCTTTAGAATTTCTCAGGGTTCTTCTGAAACTGGGAAATGGCTAAAAATACCAGGTCTGTTGTGAGATATCAGCTTACTGAAGACAATGGTGTACGGTGGCGCAACTTCGTGGATTGGTTGAAATTAGACATTAACACCGTTGGATGCTGGCTCAGTGGTCTGGTTGGTTGAGCGCCTGTCGCGAGACTGGTAGGTTCTGGGTTCGAATCTCGCGGGGAGCGGGATCGTGGATGCGCACTGCTGAGGAGTTCGATACTAGAACGAGACGGTCTTCCAGTGCTTCCGGGTTTTCCATGGTTGTCTAGCTCCAAATGAGTCATGGTTTCAACCAGTAAAAATACATACGTCAATCAGAGTCTAACATAAAATCCCTGGAGTTCTACAAGAATAGGCTTTTCCACATCCTGATTGCATAATTACCGATATAATTATTAATTTTATTATAATTTCAGAAGCTTTTAGAATACTAAGTTAACAACACTTTGTTTTCTATTCAGAGCTGAAGTGAAGAACTTATTTGGATGACTAAGAAGCTGTTAGAAGATCAGTGTCAACCAGATATATCACTTACAGAACATCAGGACATTACGTTTATTAATGGAGGTAAATGAAATCTGAAGATAAATCGAAACATAAAGCTAAAAAAATGAAATGATATGAAACAAAACTAACTTACACTGACGATAAAAATATTTAAAACATTAGTGAAATTTACCTTCATGGTCACTGTAGCCATTTGCAACATAATTGGCAACTGACTTTCTATGACTGTTTATTAACTCAGATTTGGGACATTTTCGTAATTGCACATTATAAGCATTTAATCCTACAGTGGAATTAGGTGTTTTATCAAGAATTTTTCGCTCATCTTCCTCTCCTTCATTATTGTTATTATTATTATCATCATCATCATATTTATCCAGATTTGGTGCATCTGAAAGTGATAAGTTAGTAAACAGACATCCATAAGACGAAGAATACGAATCCATAGTACGACATACTGATTCATTTTCTATATCATTAGATGTAGAGGTTCCAATTAATAATGAATTATCATCAAATGGTAAGAGATTGTGATCTGAACAATTGAATAGGTTTTTAGTTTTTATTTTATTACATTTTTCATCAGTAGGAGTAGGAGACCGGTCACAATATCTACACGAATTAGAAAAATAAAACGCTTTAGACACGTAAACCCATACAAAGCGAGTGTATTAAATAACAATACAAACTTGAAAGAAAATAATCACGAAGAAAAAGAAAAAAAACTCTATTACAGTCAAAATTTAATCAACTGAGGAACTGTTATAAAAGAATAAAAGATGTTTAACAATATTAGGAAATTTATTCAGTCATACCTAGTAAGTAGTAAAATGTACAATGTGCAATATTCTAGCACAAAAGTTTTCTATATGCCACAAATAAATAGAAGAGCTCATATTCTATCAGTGTATTACATTATCGATATGAGTTGAACAAAAAATTTTTTGATTAAATGAGTATCAGTATTGTTGATACAAATGATTATTGCTATCATTACAATATTCAATAATAAATAAATAAATACGATCATTTCAATGAGAAGATAGTAAACGTTTTCTTTTTTATATGAATATTTAAATAATGTAGATATTTCTTAATAAAGTTAACATTTGTTATATCCCGATTAGCATAATGAATGGTAACTTTTTGGATCCAGTTATGGACCAGTACTATGTGTATATTTTTATCGTATAATTGTTAAGTGACTAAACAATTCCCATTCATATTACTCTTCTTATGGGCCTTATTTTGACCTATGAACTATTATTATCCGATTTAGCATTCTTGAATTATGCCCTATCTATTTATTACTACCTCTCATATTAACGGCCATATTTGACCAAATCTTGTATAAATGTTGTTTCCTATTTTATTGGTACGATGTGGTCTGTCTGGTTGGTATATAGACCCCGTATTTTTGAAATAAATGATTCATATCGTAAAGGCTGAGATTGGTGTTCTGGACTTAACTGGTTGGGCTAGGCAGAAAGCAGGACAGATAAGTACTCTACACTGCTCGTACCGGTTTGATCGATAATTCACTGACGTCTAATTGGCGGCACCGTTACGTTATACGTTAGTAGGGAGCACATGCTACAAGTTATAACAACATTCAATTAAATTATAGATTCTTAAACATTTCGATCACAGTAATCAACCAATAATAATTTAAAAATTAATTACAAAAACAATATATATTCTAATAAATTACATTACAAAATACATTATTACAAAGAATTTAGTGAAGAAATTTTTCTTCTCGACGAAATCATTTACTTAAGTTGTATGTTTGTATTTATAACAGTTTGATAAGCATTTATGGTAAACATTGATTGATCTTAACATGACTTTTGTAATGTTATGCAAAAGTGTTGAAGTGTGTATACTAAGGTTGATTGAAGCTATAGCCATATGAAAATTCAACCCCATTTTATGTATTCAAAAACAGTTTGTTCTCTCCTTAAACCTAACCCGGTAATATTATCATAGACATCCTGATGGAAATAACGCTCTCATCGACTGACTTCTCGGGTATTGATCTCCTACCAGGAGGTCCACTTATTGACTTAGAATACGCAGATGACATAGTCCTGTTTGGTGAAGACGCTGATGAAATGCAGAGTCTTTTGGTAGCACTGAGCAACAATGCTAGAATGTTTGGGATGCGCTTTTCTCCCTCTAAATGCAAGTTGTTGCTTCAGGACTGGTCTGCATCAACACCTGAACTAAGGATAGGGGGTGAAGTAGTCGAACGCGTTGACAACTTCACTTATCTTGGAAGTCTGATCAGCCCTAATGGGTTGGTGTCTGACGAAATCTCAGCACGGATTCGAAAAGTTCGCTTGGCCTTTGCCAACTGACGTCATCTATGGCGAAGGCGAGATATCCGTCTATCAATTAAGGGACGAGTATACTGCGCGGCAGTTCGTTCCGTCCTTCTATACGGCTGCGAAACATGGCCTTTAAGAGTGGAAGATATTCGTAAGTTACTAGTATTTGACCACAGGTGCCTTAGAAATATTGCTCACATCTGCTGGGATCACCCGGTAAGTAATAGTGAGGTTAGACGCAGGGTATTAGGGAATGATGGTAAATCAGTTGATGAGGTTATGAATCTTCATCGACTGAGATGGTCGGGCCACGTGTTGCGTATGCCTGAACACCGATTACCACGACGCGCAATGCTGACTAGTGCAGGGGATAATTGGAAGAAAGTTAGGGGCGGCCAAACCAAAACGTGGCATCAGTGCTTGAAGTCACTAACTTCTGGTCTGAGCCATGTTGGTAGATGCAGACTACCTGGTTGGGGTCCGCGTGACTATCGTAACCAATGGTTGGAGACTCTTGGTGACATGGCTCAGAATCGATCACAATGGCGTCGGTGTATACACTCTCTGTCTTCCTTTAAACTAAGAGATTAAAATCACTTCAAATCTTACTTTCTACGAACTAATTCTATCTTCCTGTAATATCTCCTTATAGACACTCTTTCTTCTATATATTACCACCACTGAATTAACTACTTCTGTGAATCCGGTGTTCATCTTGTTGTGCTAATGCGGTATGGCAACTTGGACCGATGCATATACGTGCCTGGTCCTACGTTGCAGCTGACTGACTGATATTGAAATTAGACATTAATACGATTGGATCCCGGCTCAGTGGTCTAGAGATTAAGTGTTCGTGCGTAGGACTGAAGGTTCTGAACTTGAGTCCCGCGTGCAGGATCGTGGATGTACACTGCTTAGTGGTCCTATATTAGGACGAAACAGTATTCCAGGTTTTTAATGGTGGCTTAGTTTAGATTGACTCGAGTATTCAACTGGTAATATTAGCTTATTGTCCAGTGTGATGAGCATTCACATTGTTTTTTTTTAAATTATTTTCTTTATTATCTTTGTTTCTTCTTACTCACTATTTGCCTCGTTGACCTTTCCTTTTCATATATAAATGTTTTTAAAAAGTATATGTGTAATCAGGTTGTTCGAAATGTATTACGCCAATATATCACATAGTTCTGATAGTCGTCTTCTTAATACACGATCGAAGTAAATGATTTCATTGAAAAGAGAATTTTCTTCCCTGAGTTCTCTTTATCTTCATTCAATGACCGAAATAGTTTAAATGAAATGTATACAATTCTTATTATGTTCATATAATTTATTACTCAATTATGATAGAGCTAGTTGATATACTTCATAATGAAGTATTAGCATTTCTCCATTCTATTATTTCAATTTTGGTGTAAATCACTGTATTAGCTTATAAATTAAAACTTTGCTTATCACATTATCTGTATAGTTTGAATATTTTTTGGTCATTTCAGGAACTGAACCTATCATAAACACACTTACTGGAACAGATACAAAAATATTATCAGTGTGAGGAAGTATTATGAATGAAATCAGCATTGAACGTGACTTTTATCGTGATGAAATGTGGTTAAAGTCAACTCAATACTTTTTTAATCCAAATTGAACTAGTTGCGAATCTTAGTAACGAGAACAAAGAACAAAATATGTTGAGATTTGACATGGTAATAAGAATTAAAAATGTAGGAATGATGGATTTTTAAAAATGTAATTGAAAAGAGTATTTGAAACTAACAGACAATCTTTGGCATTATTAATCCTTATATGATAATTAATTCAGTTTAGCATACTTACGTATGCGATATGTTGTATTGTAGTAAACTCGATTCTGTTTGATTTTTATTAATTTGTTCATTATGTAACAAAGAATCACGAAGCGATGATTGATTTATATCATCAACTATATTGAGAGAAAAGAACAAAAAATCAATTCAGTTAGAAAGGAGAGGAAATCATCTTTACTTAAAGTTAGATTTAGCGCGAAATATTTTAATGTGTCCCACCATTAAGACTACCTAGTTGATTAGCTTGCGTGACAAAAAAAAATACCTGTTCTAACTTATTTAATGTTTATCTTATGTAGCATGTACATGTAAAATGTACGTAAAATATATTTGGATATGGTTTGTGTAGCGAAATTTAAACTTAAATTTTCCGGTTGACACGATATAGATGAGCATACAAATCATGTGTTTGTGCTCATAAACCATTTCAAAATCAAACAACAGATTAGAGATTGTAAACGAGGCACACTATTGGAGGAAGTTAGTGTTGTATTTATACAAGGTCTCAGTTTACATAAAATTGTTTAAGTCTAAAGGATAATTCTCACAGACATATTTGTCATTTCTGAAAATTACTATTTGACTTGGCAATCAAACTAGTGACTATTCAAATAATTTCATTTGTATAGTTGGTTTGATGTACCATAAGAAGTGTATAACTTAATTGAATAGGGCACTGGGGTGTAATACTAGTTCACAGTGATTATCATGAAAATAAACATTGTTCATTAGCTTTAAATTAGTTATAATCTGATGCCCGCGGTGACATTATCGTGAAACCAAAAAAACAGCCATGAAATGGTGTATATTGTTCTACAGAATTGTCATAGAATGTTATATGTAACGTGTTCAACGTGAAAATTTTCCTTCGCTTTCCTATTTATGATACTTAACAGTAGATGAACTAATGTATATAGTGAAAAGTGACACTGTAAACTTTAGGTGAAAACAAAAATAAAGCAATTTGTAGTCTTATTGAAAATTCTCATTAAATATGAATGTTTATCAATTTTGACAAATTATATCAAGCACTTAGCTTAATGATATTTTCACGATAATAATTACTTTTGTGAAAATTCTATTTAAAATAATCTCAGTGACTAAAACGTAAACACTTTCATCCAACAAACTTGTCTGAAACATTCTTTGATCATTTTGATTATTACACAGAAGAAGTCCAGACAAGTTTGCCTAACGAAACGTTGGAATTATTTAAATGTCAATTAATGAGATTATTTCAAATAGAATTTTAACACAATCCCTATTAAACTATTCGTTTAAATATTGACAAATCTTCGTATAAACAGTGACTTTCATTTAACAGTTTAAATACTAAACAAACTAAACTAATCATTAAAATATACAGTTAAGAGATATTCATTTCTGACAGTCTATCAGCTATATTCTCCTATTAAGATTACCTTATAATAGCACAAACGAATACACTTTGTATAAATAATAAAAATTCCAGATATCAACTAAAGAAATATTAAGAAAAGCAGGATAAAATGAATACAGCATATTGATTATTTAAGTGAATGTTCTATATGGACATAGACAAGCATAACTTACATGTCTGTGTAGTGTTATTACAAAGTTGAACAATACCATATGGAAATGAGCCTATTTCACCAGTTCGTCTATTTTGACCACGCCACCAAAATTCACGGGGTTTTCCGTCAATAATAATAACAATATCACCTGCTTCTAAGCCTAAACGATCAGCTTCATCAAGGTTTTGAGTTGCTATGACGATAGTTGGACGAATCTATCATTTTTGTCACAGATATAAAGAATTACAAACAAATAGTTAAAAAAACACAAAATCACATCTAAACAACGAATTTTACATTTCATAATGAAAGAATTCGAAATAATGAAGTGACTATTCTTATGTTTTTTTAATTTTCTTGGATTCAAACGATTCATGGTAAGAGGAAACTCACAAACTGAACATTAGCAGATTATAAGCAGTACTCAGAATAGATTGAAAGACAAGGTCAATTATACGGAAGTTTATTTCATTACAATATATAAATGCTCAGTGTGAACAATTATTGACAAAAAGCACACTACTAAATTAAAATGTATAAAGACTGAAAGCTCTCAGTTTCTTTCAATCAATACACCATTAAACAGTTGTTAATAAAACGGTAATGAATTTACTCACGTTTGGGGGAACGAATTGGCTAGCACATAAAATAATTGTTACGATAAAATAAAATATTCTCAGTATGAGCTTGTAGAGATTATGGAATTTCATTGAAATCATGAACCGATCAATGTTAGACCACCATTCAAAACCTGGACGGCCGTTTCGATCTAGTATGGGACTCCTCGACAGCTCGCATCCATGGTCTTATACGTGAGAATCGAACCCAGTCTCGCTATAAATCCAGACCACTGAGCCGGCATCCAACAGTATTAATGTCTAATCTCAACTAACTAACGACATTGCGCGACTATCTTCCATTGTCTTCGGTGGGTGACTGCCTCACACCCGATACGGATTAACTCCACCGGTAACGGTTTCTTACTAGAGACAGGAGATTATAGGTTAGATTCCTGCATGAGGGACCGTAGATTAGTACAGTTGAGGAGTCCCATACTAGGGTGAAACGGCTATACAAAGCTTCCGGGTTTTCAATGATGGTAAAACTTAGATTGGTTCATGATTTCAATCAAAATGGAGCATTTGGAATCTCGATTAAAAATTTAGATCGATTTATAAGAACTGTTAATTTAGCAGTGTTACTGAATAAAGTATATCTCTTTGGTAGAAACCATTCTGAATTGAATTAACCATTACATTGTTGAGACTAACCAGTACTAGTAGAGTGGTTGTATGTGCTATGCCACCTAATTAACTAACATAAACATTGTAATTCAGTTAACTTATGAATCATCATACAGTACTACTACAAATCTGTAAGTACTGTCAACTTGAATAATGATAATTAGCAGTTATAGGTTGTAGGTGTAAGTTTAATACTTTATTGAACTGTTGGTGAATAGAGAACTGATTGGTAACCGATTTCCAGATGATGGAGATAGTAGTTAACACGTTAGAAGTCGAGGTCTCAATATTGTTACACGTTAAGTAGCTATGGGGGCATTAAAAACCTTTCAAAGCTATGAGTGGCATCAAAAATGTAGATTATTTGTTGTATTTTGTTACCACAGCATATATTGCCAACTGAAATAGCAATCGATAAAGACTCGTAAGTTTTGCAATACATTGCAGGATAAATTTTACCTGATCTAATCTTTTGGCGAGGTAGGAAAAAGTCGGTCGACGATACGGTTCAGCTCTCCAACAAGCTAACATTATCTGGTATAAACGACGTGGACAGGTAAACCGGGGCCAAACCAACCTACGACCAGAATCTAAAAGCTCTAACAAACGCACAGGAGTGAGACCCGACCAAGGATCTGCACCACCGGTCCACATTTCCCAGAATGTAACACCTAGACTCCAAATATCACTTGCTTCAGAAAAGGTTCGTTTATGCAAAGATTCTGGAGCGGACCTAGAAATACAACAAATACAAAAACCTGCTTATAGCTATGTAAAACTTAAATACCTTGCAGTGAATTAAGGGCAATAAAAGCTTTTTACCGTAGTTTCTCTTAGGATAAAATGCGCACATCACTCAGATGTACAATAGAAACGCTGTAAGACAGAAATCACATTGATGTCAAGTGTATGGTTATTCGTAGTGTTTTTGTGTTCTCGTCAAGGGAAATTACTGACTTGTTAAACGTTCAAAAAGCGCAACAATAACAAGAAGGCTATTACCAATAATAATAATAATAATAATAATAATAATAATAATAATAATAATAATAATAATAATAGAGGACTCCACAGTCTGTCAGCTACTTCATGCAGATCGATTACAACTCATAGCTCTTGTTGTGATAATCACAGCTGTTACATCCTCCAATTCAATATTGTTTGGATACTTCACTTGACTTATCTCAAGTGAGAACAAGAATTAAGAAGTAACAATGTATATTTTAGTAAACCGGAACAAAAACGTATTATAAAGACTGAAATTTACATGGGAATCTTCTAACATCTCGACTCATCCTCTGACACTGGTTAACTGAAAAATGGACGAATCAGCTTCTTCCAATTTGCGATCGAGCTAGGTATGCAGTAGTTAGGAATCTATCTTACTAAAAACATCATTTAGTACTACGTGACCTAATAAATATTTATATAATCCTAAATTCTAAAACTTTAAATATGATGACAATTGAGTATGAAGTACCAAGACGCTAAACGTAGCCTTGAGATTGTTTAATATAACTGCAGTATCAGTGTGTATTGATTGAAACAATTGGTTTCTATCAATGAATACAGACTATATTAGCCTTTGGATAGATTAAGTTAAATCGGAAGACGGCTAACATTCTGTTTAGTGTTGGGAGATTATTAAAAAAAGTTATGAGATCAGCTGGATCATTGAGAATGTCGTAGTCACACAAATAACTTCTATCCTACCGTTATCGACGTTATAAATCAAATCATGCTATTGTCCTCTTGCTTAAGTTTATTTATAGCGTATTATAAGACAGATTACTTGTGAATAAAGTGGTCATAAAGTGTGCGATTAGCATAAAATAATTTTTAACAATTCGATTCACTTAGCTACTGTTTTTATTAGCATTATCTATTTTACTAGGTCTTCCATAAATGTTTGTGAATCATAGTAAGTCACAACAAATGCATTGTCAACCATAGGATATAATATTTATATATTTATGTTGTAAATAACTCTTTCGTTGCACAGACAATTCAGTGATAACGTTTTAGACTGTGAAATTGGGCTACGTGGGTTTGGATTTCATTTTGAACATTAATTCAATAATGCAAGTATGCCTTGTTGACGAGTGACAACTAACGCAAAAACTACGTCTTACAGCATTTCCAATTGATTAGCTCCAACCACATAACACATTGTATGATGTCTGTTTCCATCACAAAGTCTAAATTAAAAAGTATAATGAAAACGATTTCATGCTTAAAAATAGGTAGTTGACAATGTGAAGAGAATTGTTTATTTTATTTATTTATTTATTAAAACACATAAACCTTGGTACAAGGAGGCACCAAATAGTTATGCGACACATAAATCATTAGATTTGTGTGAAAGCTGGGATACTGCCCAGGTGTCTAAATCAAAGCAGGAGGTTTTCTTGGGAAACCATACCTGAAAACTTTGACCTAAAAGTCTCATCAACAAGGCAGTGGAGTAACGTCAAAAGATGCAGTCCCTTGGTAGTCGGTCACCAATTATTGGTTTATACGCCATTTGTTCCCTCAGGATAGTGGAGACCATGTGCACCATTGGTTTGAACTCTGTGTCTAGCAACCCGGTTAAAGCGCCGGACATTCGCTTTTTGTCCTCTCAACTTCGTAAACAACACCCCCGTCGCGAGAAGGCAGTGAGTAGGACGTCCCAGGCAGTGGTTGTATGCACGTGGCTATGTGAGAGCATTTTGAGAGGGAGAGCTGACTCTCCTCACTTTCGGCCGTACCAGGGGGTTGGAGGGCTAAAGCGAATTATAAACATGTGATTTCAGTCATAACAAGATGAAGTTCAGACAAATGTCAGCTTGGGACTTTAAATACAGATAAATATTAATTTGAACCTTCCTTAGTATTATTGGTTTCGGCTTCGGTTTGTTATTTAATTATACTTCAAAAAGTGCTTGGAGCTACGTTTAATTGTATAGTGTTTTTCTATCTATCTATCCACTTAATCTTATTGAATAAAATTTTCCTTGTTAATGATGTGATTTTTTATGCACAGTCAGGAAGAACTTAATATATTTGGATAACACATTATAATACTGATCACGATTATCAATTAATTACTTACCAGGCAAATGGAATTTTCTGTTCTAAACATCCAGTATAAATTGGTTCATTTGATTCATCTTCATTTAATATTTTCTTATTCACTGCACATGATTCTAACGATCGAACTAAACCAAAATCAGCTATTTTAATTTGAGGATATTCATTTTTTGAAATTGATGAAAGTAAAATATTTCTAGCTGCTAAATCGCGATGAACTAGTCCTTGAGATGTTAAATAAGCCATACCACGAACAATTTGAATAGCCATATCCCATAATGCATCAATTTGAAGAGCACGAGGTACAGATGGGAAATGTGCTCTTACTTCATTTGTTTTATAAGAATTATTATTATTGGCACACATAGATTGAGCTCTTAAATGTAATAATAAACTGCCTAATGGTGCTAATTCAGTTACCTGAAATAATAGTATTAAAAATGAAATTTCATTATATATATATATATATATATATATATATATATATATATATATATAACAAAAATGGTGGTATGGATGACATTCAATATGTATGAGATGTTAAGAACAATGCATAAACTAACTGCACTCATAGATTGTAATTCTTAATAAATATTAAAATGAAAAACTCTTAGCTTTTTAATTGATTTTCTTGACTATTAACTATATAATATTCAAAATAAGTGATACGTGAATCATAATAGCTAGGATGTGATATGATGACCAAAGTCATAGTTGACTGAAGTATGAGTGACCTGAAAAATTTATTTCCTCTAATCGCCTATGACATTTAATTATGTTTATTCTTATGTTAATATTTTACTTATAAGCATGTTGTTTAATGGAAAGAAAATTTTGTTCTATTTGATAGCTCTCTTAACCTGAGAATATCAGTTCAATTTGCGTCTTGATTCTGTTTTATGAGCAACAGTCATTTTGCTTATACGTATAACTGTATATCATTCATTAGTGGAGGTTCATTTCTTTCATTTTTAACAGTTGAGAACTCATTAATCAAAGCACAAGGTCCTATTCGATGAAAGGAGTCAGTCAAAAGCCAATACACTTTTAAAGAATGAAACAAAACTTTGTCATTCTTCCATTCCTTCCCTTCATTCTCTTTGTTTATTGTATGATAACTTATTGATAAATATATTCTATATCTTGGGGTAGAAGACATGTAAAATTAATCTAACTAGAATGTCATTGATAGAATGACTAGATCTCTTACCTTCTAGGTTTATTTTCATTTAAATACTTCTCGTAACGACATCAAATTGTAATGAACTTTTATGTAAAAACTTTGTTCACTTTGATAGTACTTTTCATATCAAAATACAGATCTCTTTTATAATGAGTAACAAATAACCTTACATTCCGACCAGTTTTGTATTCACGTTAAGTAAGCCCAACCACTGTGTTATAAGATAAATTCACAATCAGAAAATAAATAATTTGTCGAGCCCAAATTTGTATATTTGGCTTAAAGTTACATCTCTGTGTAAGGTTCGAAACTTAATGGATTCGGGTAAACAAAAGAGAAAAATTTATAAAATATAATACCGTAGATTAAATTACCATCATAATTGGATTAGATAGTACAATTCCATAAAGACGGATTAAACTAGGATGTGAAAGACATTGCATCGCACGAATTTCATACAAGAATCCTGTGAATAAATCGCTTTTCATTGCTTCTGGTTTTAATAATTTCACAGCCACAGGAATCTGTAGGAACAAACGTTTTTATTAAAAACATTTAGGCTAAAGACACAATCATTAGCTGTTTGAAAAAACGTTGAAGGAAAAAATCACCTTATCTATCGAAAATATTGATAATTTAGATGGCTACATGATACAAAAATATACTTCGAACCCTTCTAGGGTCGCTGCTTGTCTCGAGCCCGGGTAAAGATGAAGGGTTGGACATAGGGTTAGGAAATATACCTCGTAAATAAAATCTAACTAAAACAACGTTAACCCGAAAGAAACGTTTAAACTCTGCTCTGGGAGTTAAAGGATCTTCATACATAAGAGTTGTGAAGTCCCTTATAGTGTAAGCCGAGATTCGTTGGAAGCTAGGAGCACGATACCTCATCTTAATGGATGATCTTAACACCATGATCGGGATGGACAATATCAGGTATGAACGTATCATGGAGAGACTTAAGCTGTGATAAAGAAACGACAATGGTGAGGTAATGGTAGACCTACGTGCTTTCGACATTGCCATAGAGAGATCTGTTTTCCCCATAAACCCATTCGCCAGGCCATATGCGCTTCACACTATGGAGAACCAAATTGATCACATCTTCATACATAAAATATTCAGAAGCTTTATGGATAGTGTAAGAACAGAGATGAGCTGATACATATTCAGATCATCACCTGGTGGTGGCAAGACTAAAACTAAAGCTAGAGAAGCGCTGAACAACTGGATAGGCAGCACCATGAAATTTTAATACAACCTTCATTCGATTTGCTGACAAACTCACTGAGTTCAGTACATATCTCAGCAATAAGTTTAAAGCCTTGCAAGATCTACTACAAGAAGACGAAAACACTATAAAAGGCAAATAGAAAGAGATTGAAGAAGAAATAACTTTAACATGCCACGAAGTACTGAGCCCCCAAGAGGCACCAACACAAAAAATGGATCTCTGTAGACAGACTAGATAATATTCAAGAAAGGAAACACAAGAAGACAGTAGTTAGTAACAGCTGAACAAAGGTACAGAAAGCCAAGACACAGGTCGAATATACAGAAGTAAACAAACGAGTGAAGAATAACATCGGAGGTGACAAGTGGAAATATGTGAAAGACTCAGGAAATACAGAAAAGCTAAAAGAGAAGTAAATGCAAGAGAACAGTATGACACAACCAGGAAGTTTTCAGAGAGACAAGGTATAACATATCGACCACTCAGGAACAAGGAAGGTAAGCCAATCACTGTGGTTTCAAGGCAGTAACAACAGGCGAGTAGAATACTTTGAAGAGCTCTTTAATAGACCACCACCACTGAACACATCGGACATTTATGGAGCACACACAGAGTTTCCTATAGACGATACAACATCAGCAAAAGAGATTAGCCAGGCCCATCAAATAAACTGAAAATGGCAAACCACCATGACTAGACACCATACCAGCTAAAGCACTGAAGTCAAATAAAGGAAACTAAATGGATGTCCCATGTCCTCTGAAGGAATATCTGAGAGGTAAAACAAATACCAACAGATTGGAAAGACGTATAACTCTTCAAAATACCGAGTAAATGAGATCATAGTAAGTATGAAGACTACAAATGTATGACACAACTGGTTACCGACTGGATTATGAAGATATTTATATGTCAAGAGAAGCATAGATTGATGATTTGGACTTCTCAGACGACAGCTACTCCATCCTATACACAGTAACAAATACATATGAAAACTACCAGTGTAGTAGTGGCCTCTGCAGAAAAAGGTGTTAACATTCACCGAGGAAAAAGCAGGATCCTGAAGTACAACAGTGAACACCGAATAAACCAAACTTAATGGAGAAACTCTGGAAGAGGTGAAAGCTTTTATGTACATGGGGAGTATTGTTGATAGATATAGATGATCTGAGGCATATGTAAAGGGATGAATTGGCAAAGCAGGGGTAGCATTCCTAAAATTTAAAAGAACTACCAACCAAGACAAAAGTCAGAATTTTCAACATCAACATTCGAACCGTTTTATTGTACCAAGCAAAAACTTAGAGAACTACCAAAGCCACTAAGAATGTACGAGTATTTATAAACAGTTGTCTACCCAAGATACTCCAGATCCGTTGGCCAGAGACCATGAACGATAACCTACCCTGATAGAGGAAAAAGCAGCTATCTACTGGGGACGAAATAAGAAAGACGCTAGCGGTGAATAGGACACTTTACGGAACCCAATGGACCGCATCATAAGACAAAACCGAATTTGGAATCCTCAAGACAAAAGGAAAAATGGTAGATCAAAGAACACAGACGCCAGGATCATGAACATGATCGCAAAACTAAATGGTGAAAAACTTACAATTTCGCCCGTCGGCACAGTCCAGTCACCACGCCGTACTATGCCAAACGAACCAACTCCAATTCTTGAATGAAGTTTGATATCCTTCTCAGGAATAAGACATGTAAATGCAGCTGAGTTAGTAACAACATTCTGACGACTATTTTGAGAGAAACTGGTGGAACGGTAAGATACTTGATGCTGGCTCCAACAAGAAGGTTGAATGGGGAACTCTTCTTTACATTGATGTTCCAGTCTATGAGCTGGTGATACTGGAGCACTAGTGTAGGACTGCTTTCCTCTAAACAGCTAGAACAAAAACGAAACAATGCGGTATTTAGAGAACCCAGCCTATATGGTTACTTTTATTCATTCAATAATAGAATTTGATGTCTACAAATTCAAAGTATGCATTGGAAAATACGTGTTAAAAAGATATCGGAGGGACTGATGAATATAAGTTTTACTCTGGCTATCATTCGTCAGCAAATCGTAACCAGAATGTTGGGAGGAATTACTCCACCGTAAAGACTTTAACCAGCATCACTTAGTGACTCAAAAGTCGTAACCGACTTCCTGAACGACTGGGGTGATTGGATTTTCAATCAGTGCATTAGGTATAACGTAGGTATTTTCAAACCATAGTAAGTAGCATATTCTGACCTGTAACTTTATTGACCAAAGGTCAATTTCAAAACGTTTATCGTCTAATCAAACATAAATACAACTTCTTACAGGCTCTAGCCTACAGTCTTACAAATTACTTCCTCCTCTTATTGTGTTCAGTATTAAACAGTTCATCACATTTCACAAACACAATTTACAACAACGAAGGCTTCATTCAACGAATCTAAGATCAATCCTGAAAAATAAAATCACAGCTGCCTAAATATTTTTGAAGTACTGTTTACTGTATCTGAAGATTTTTAAAGTGAATAAACAGTACAAAAAAGAGTTACAATTCAAATTCTGTGTTTCTAGACCTTTCGTGAAATAATAACTAAACTTTTAAAACTTAAATGAGATACTTAGCATTCGTTGTAAAACTAATGGAGCTCTCATATTCATCAGTTTATTTCTGATTTATTGACAAGTTAGTAGGCTACCTTTCTATTTACCTTAAATAACCTACAGTAGAACATAGTTTTTTTTAAATTGGAAATCAGACTATTTAATAGAAAATTAAACACAAGCGGCATAACACGTTTATGGCAAGCTATCTAGTGGAAATCATAACAAGCGATACAGCCTAAAATTCAAAGAGTTCTGATGAACAGCTACTCACTTTACGTAACAGTTTCGATCGATGAAAATCAGCAGCAGAATAAGGTTTCAGATCTGACCATGAACAGGAATAGTCTGTATATCCATCCGATAGCAGATTCCTTACCGAAAACCCATCTTCTATTAGCTGATTAACAAGTCGATTGATTTCATTTTCTGTCATTCCAAGACAAGCTAAGTCAGTAGGTTTAACCCGGTCGAAATCGTCAGGGCTAAGGGGTTTGAAAAGAAAAACCTGTAATAGTCAACAGTAAGTCTCTACAATATACTAAAATTCAGTCAGTCAGTAACAACGTGGAACTTCGTACGTACGTACATCAGTTCGAGTTGCCATACCACATTAGCACAGAGATGCAGTTGTCGATTCAAATTAGGCTTCATATACCAATTTTTTAATTAAACTATTGCACAGCTTTTTATCAGGAAACATGAACAAACTTATATCATCAAAATCTTAACGATCACTTCTGGGTTATTTACGTAGACATATCGTTTGTTCGCTTTTATAAAAAGCATAGTGAAGAAAACCTCAGGAATTCACTACATAGGAAGAGAATAATGACTTTCTCAGCTTACAGAAGATAGATAACTATACAAGATATATGACAAGACTCCTTGTCATTTTTCGCCATGACTAGGATTTTAATTTTACAGGATGTTTAAGTGTAAACCTAATCTACGCTAAACTAGATTCGAACAAGATATGTGAATTGCACGTTTGTACTTTACATTGCTATGTATTTGCCAACGATATATATTAAAGGAAGTGCAAATTTTCAGTCTGCGATATTTTGCTAGTATTCATAACACAGATACACAAGCATAATGAACAAATTGGTAAATAACTGTACAAGTTAAAATACTCCACTTAAGACGTGTTAGCAACAAGATAAGAGAAATAGTGATCTTAAAAATAAAAATCATAACAAAGTAACCTAGAAAAGATGAATAAATATGAAATAGTATAAAGGTTATGTGAAACGGTGGCTGGTGTTTATTAAAGTAACTAGCTTCCAACCTGTAAGTTACAAGCTTGAACCCCAGTTTAGCTACTTTGGTTTGGGTAGTTAAGTTGTACCACTAGATATCACGAACAATCTGGTTTAAACCCTAGTACGTAAACTTTTATTTTGTAAATGAGTTGCAAGTGAACAATTAGTAGTGAACTGTGCTGAGACTTTTAGAAACATTACGTATGTCAACTCGTAATGTGCCTTAAGGAAGACGGTAGATATATGATACACTTCAACTGCCCTATTTAGGGGAGGGATGCAACCAAAAAAATTGAACTTTCATTTACACAAAGCCCCAGCTTAATACCAAGATTAATAATACACTGACATTATAGTAATCCAATGATATTTTGCATTTAGCTATTGTAGTCATAATGTTGGATGTTGATCATCATATTATTATGTAATTGTCATCTTAATAGTCATCATAATGTTTTGGTGTTGGAGCTTTGAATTAGTTGCTTGGACAGTAAGCTTTCAACAACTATTCCTACATTTCAAAAGCCGTTAGAGGGGTACAGCTGAGACAGCTTAAGAAGGCTAGAAATCTGAATGAACTTAACCGGACGAATACACTGTTTCGTTTGTTCGCAGACTCAAACTCCACATAAGCGTACTTTATTAGGATTGTGAAAAATGATTTTTTGTAAAAGCGCTTTCGACTGAATTTAGTATATATATATATATATATATATATATATATATATATATATATATATATATATATATATATATATATATATATATATATATATATATATAAGAATAATGCTATTTTCATTAATCATATTGGGTTGGTAGAACTTAAAGGCCTAAAAGTTATTTGTGTTGGGCTAACGTTTCTCCAGAAATCTATTCCACATTCTTGAAGGTGTTTTCCGGTGGTATTTAGTAATTAATCCCAGCTACAATTATAATTTTTATAGTGAGAGATATGGTTTGTACATTAAAACAGAGGACCCTTGGTGGAGTGCTTCACAATTTTGGACTAAATACCTGCTGTGAAATTCAGATAAGTTTGTCTGAACGATAGAGTGAAACGAAACAATACGAATTATTAAACAAAATGATAAGTGAAGTTTAAACAGTAATTCAGTAATAAGCAATGAAATCTAAGCTAAGACTGAAAAGGTTTGTAGTTACTGTGAACTCTAAATAATTTACATCACTGAAAATGTGTTCGAAAGGGAATTCAAAAATGTGATGCTGTCAAATTAAAAGTGATATTTACAAAACTAATGTAGTGGAACTCACTCATTTATTTTTAATTTCTTCTTGATGACATTGTGGAAGTTCCGGAGGTGAGCACGTTCAAGAAATACAGACAACTTCTCACATCGACCTTAAGAAATTATAGGAGAAAAAAGTGCATACCTGCCCAGGGATAGTATACCCTTTCAGTCATCACCAAGAAGCTAGTAAATTGAGTTGTTTGAACGTGATTTAAAACACTGTTTGTTGATGTTCATAAAAATTCAAACACAGGGTAGAAAAATGAAAAGATACAGATTTTCGAGATGAAAACCGAAGTGTTTCTAGCACTGGTCTTTTTCATCAACAAAATTTCACGTTGAGAATAACTACTGACATTACTTCACAGAGCAACAAGTTAATGATGCGGATGACTTTGTAAGATTTTAAAAACTCAACTGATGTTGAGTCCAATATTGGCTAACGTAATCTTTCTAATCATTTTCGAAAATCTGCTTTTCGGAAACAAATGAAAGCCAGTAGTCAAATATTATCAATTTTGCGTAAGTTTAGGAGTATTGATCTGTCGCATAATCAACGATCAGTCCAAATGTTGTATCAACAAGCACTCAATTATTAGTAGTTTGACTGGAAACTAGTTTGAAAACTTTATTAAAATTTAGGACCATTTTACAATTTCTCATATTACGACCCAGGTATTCCTATTGCTTAGTATTCTTGGACACTAATTCACTCGAAAAGTCTCCAGTTCAGAACACGGTTGATCAGGAACGGAATTATATTCCCAATAACAAGGGTAGATAGAAGTAAGAAGCACAATAACAAAAACGTTAGTATATTTATAGTTTTTACAGGAGATTCTAGAGTCCAATCTAATCCAATATATAATCCGCTAAGACTGCATAAAAAATATTTTGTTGGTGTTATATCTTCGGAGCTAAGTTTTAATAATGAGCTAAACCGACTAATTATGCATTGTGATTTGTATTATTGATCCGGATATGTTTAAACTTATTCAGCATGTTTAGTACGCATATTGAATTCATCTAAACTATAATTACTACTGATGAAACATTGACTTAGAAGCTTTCAATGAAGTCTTATACCATATTAAAATTTAGGTTAATGAGTCATCATCAACATAGAACCTGGCACATATGTGAATCAACTCAAGTCAGCACATCACGGTAAAATAAAATTACCGAGATCAATACCAAAGTCATAGGATCAGCGGTAGTAAAAAAAGACCAAGAAACCAGGATGTGAATCGACAATGAATTAATTCACAAGTTAAAATGCATAAGATAATTTTGAAACATGATTTAAGAGATATAAATGAAAACACCTACACCATTATAACGGATTTTGAAATGTCACTCGTCTCCAACCATTGGTTACGATAACCATACGGACCCTAATCAAACAGTCTAAATCTAGGTGAACGACTTGCTTCAGAAGCCCATAAATTTATGGGCACATGGCTCGTCTGGTTTTTCCCCGTAGTTTTCTTCAAAAATACTCTTACTCCAGCAAACATTACGTGTCAAACTAAGTGATAGGGGCGTAAAACACATCCACATCATTTATTGAGGATTATTGATATTACCAGTCGGCTTCCCGTGTCTATTTAGTATCATACGTATAACCTCTCCGATGCGTGAACAATGCTTCACATAAATACTCGACTAAAACCCTGTTGCCTACCTATGACTTTTAAATTTATGGGCTATTTCACAGACAAATCAATGCATACTAAACCGGTGTATAGCATACTTTGTTGGCAAGTAATGGACGTTGGTTTCAAGTCAACCGGACTACTAAATCCGTGATGGGATATTGTTAGCCAGGAACCTATCGAGGCTGACTGAACCCCCACAAGAAGTGAAGTGGTTCATGGGGCGAATTGCTTCATTTGGCACGTCAAGATGATGGCGCAGACATGTTCTGAAGAATTATTTAGTATTTAGATGAATGCTAAAGATTGATGCGTCAAAAGACCAGGGATCGTATTAGTCTTTAGCAAACAGTGCTATAACATTTATACCCTCCTATTTGAAAATTAGGTCTAGTGGGGAATAAATCCCCGAAAGGAAAGCACTATCTTTAGAGAATCTCAACGGAACAAATAAAAGTGAGATAGTGTGTAGTCCTGATTATATGTTCCCAATTTTTATGACACAGTCACAAGCGCTGACCCAATCAACCGAGTTTCGGTAAGGACGTTTCCCAGAGTTCATGAACTTTTCCGGCACACTTCCAATGGGAGTCATTTTTTATTTTATTTGTGCCACAGCTAGTGGGAAAAATACTAAAAAGTCTCTTCTGAAATACACAATCGCGATTGTGTTGAATCCACGGATTCAACACCTACAATACTAAACTTACTCTGACCGCTTTGCTCATGCTTAAACTCAGTTATCTTATATGTCGGCCATGAGGTCTCTACTTAGGCTTGAAAGACATGGTTGTTTGGATATGCATATTTCACAGGAAACATACAGACCATAAAGAAAATATGTGCTCTTCGGCATACCTTCTGGGGTGTTTATAAATTTAGAGCTAGTTTCGACACTGGAATGAAATTTTTCAATGAGGGCAAAAAAGTGATCTATCGAAGTAATCAGGAGTGTGCATATATGATTGCTAACAATAGTTCCAAACTTAGTAACAAACCACTTCAAGAATACCGCCTAATGCGATTCAAAAAGCAAACCTCAAACTTCGATTAACGTTATGTAAACTGAGTAAATTTTTAGAAGTTTCGCCTCATTTACGACAACATAAAATGAATAATTTGCTTATGTAGGAATCTAAGAGAACAAAAAATCTTTTTTCAGTAAAATAAATCTTGGTTATCAACTAGTACATTCTTCTATAGTAAGGGTAATTTATGTTCCACTGACATCGTTTAACCATTCCAAACCTCAATATAATGCAAGTCTGTCTGTAAACAATCCATACTATTGCTCGTATTAGGCTAGTGAAGAGGCACATAATGCCATGAATTGAAAAGATTTGTAAGCATTCGATATTGGTCATGATCATGTTAGTTATACACTACTGGGTGAAGAGGATCTGTCAAGCATCGGAACGGAATCACATTGAGAATTACCGCCAGATGTACCTGTAGAATTTAGAATCACAAAAGCTAATAATGAAACTATTTATTTAACTGGGTTATTATTACCAGTCTAGTATACTGTCCATGATATAACCGTCTTATATATATATATATATATATATATATATATATATATATATAACTTTGTGCTAAAGTCATTGTAATATCTAAATTTTTAGATTTGGATCATTTAATAATAATAATATACTTCTGCATGAGCAGGTACACTCCATTTTTACAGGCATGATCTACAAATTACAACATTTGTTGGAGCATAGCATGCTCCCCAACTTATTAAGTTTATAGTTGTTATAAAGTAGACTTGTAAAGCGCTTGCTCTAGACCGTGACCTTGAGTTGACACATACGTCAAGTTTGTTCCAGACGTCAGAAGTTACATAGCTGTGTCATCAGAGCGAAATTCTGAAGAAAATAAAAAAGGGAAGTAGTAGAGCAGCAAGGCACTTAGATATGAACTCTAAACATTACTTAAAATTGTGTAGTAGAACAGACAGGGGTATAATAAATTAGATTGAATTCATATTATTTCTTGTTAGAGTGCAATGAAGTCAGAGGCTCCATTTAAGAGAATGTAGTAATAAAGAACAATGAATTGTGATGTTTAACAAGTTGAAGTAAGCTCACATGAAGGAAGGGAACTCAACGTTGGTATAAGGAAAGTGGTTTATTAGAAGGGAGTATGCATATAGAGGGTGAAGTGTTAAGAATATTAATAACTATCTCTTTTTATTATCTGATCTTTTCTTTTTTGTCCATCCGATGCCAGCCACACAATCCTAGTGTAAAAGTCAGAGTTAGCATGTTATAGGTTGTCTTAGTAGATTAGCCAGTTCAATATAAAATTGGAAACTAAGTCTGAGTAGTGAGCGTAGGAAGACAATCTATATCACAGATTGATTGGCTTATGCTCAATCATAGAGAGCCTGATACAGCCAAAATGTTCTGCCCCACACACGAATATTCGTTAGATTCACAAATTCCAAATAAATGGCCAAGAAACCTAAACTTCAAAAATTGAATAGTTCAATATTATTTATGTATTGTAAATCTACTTATAATGATCATCATGACTAATTTTGCGGAGAAAGTTTGCAAACGAATCATTCAAACAGAGTATTATTAATGTCTTTGTAACGGAAAGAGAACGATGAAAATTCCTCCGCAGCCTTTTTGTTGGACGGTACTGTCATTTATTTGTTTCTTCCACCTGTCGTGTATTTTAACCTTTGTTCAGATTTCTTTTGACCACACCTTTTGTTCTTCAGTCTTCCTCGTTTGAGCTTTCATTGCGTGATTTTGATTCAGGACTTATCTTTTGTTACCTAATTTTCTATTGCATGTTGCCGGACTATTGACAGTAATGTCGTGTTTGACTAAGCTCAAGGTCACGGCGTGATTCAGTGTGTGACTGTTAGCCTTTTGCCTGTCTGTTTATGAGGATTTCTGGAATCTCTGCAGATAGATATTTGATCCCGTATTGCTGGGAATATATTTGCTGATTCTCAGGTATTGACCCCTTTGATATTAACTGTTTCTTTTATTGTTTAGCACGTTAATTTGGTTAGAGAAACTTTTGACTGTACAGCACAGACTGTACCGTTTGGGGTATTTTGTATTTTTGATATAATTTGTTTTATTTTCTAAATTTGAACCGTTTAAATTGGCCACAGAGTTTGCCTTTTGATATAATTTAGTACGAATGTCTCAAAAACTCTTGGTAAACTATACAGAAGAGCGTAGCCTGGCCTATTCGAATACATTTTGGTTCGTCAGTCCTGCGTTCAAACCGAATACTGGCAGTTCGGTCGTTACAGTCTTTATTCAACATAATATTTTTGCTACAATATAGAAGTTTCAAAACATGGTATTTCAAAAGGTTTCTTGTATACACGAAAAAGTGTACAAAAAAATCTGATAACTGCATACATATGTAGCGTGGAGTCGAGTCGCGATTGACTATGAACACCACTACAACAAGACTACGTGCCAATTAACCAATAAGATCCCCGTAGGTCAATATCAGAAGGCAGATGATGGCTGTAGTCGAGATGTATATGTTGGCGATCTCGTGGTATCGAAAGAATACCGAGATCGTGCCAAACGAGTACAAGCGTGGTTACCAAGCGTAATCGAATTCCTACAAGTTCAAAGTCAACAGGAGAGTAATATGGCTGTCATTAGCGCAGTCAAACAAACGAGCACAGTAATACAATCACTGGTACAAGTTGTTATAATAATAATTGTTTTCAGTGAACTAATTGCGTTCTGTTGACAAAAGTAGGTCACTACTCATATGTAATTTAATTAAACAGATAAACTACCTGAATTTGAATGAAAATTTTTATTTTAAAAGATTTGAAACTGTATAACTTTTTAATCAGAATCATGTATCAAAATACGCGTTATTCACTAGGTCAACTCTAACAATCTGTTTGTTGCAGTATATCTATAACCACACTAATAGATATTCCAAAGGACTCACCACTGCTTTCGTTAGTCTTTGCAACACAACAGATTCTTTTCCGAAATCTCCTTGAAGAATAGTGGAGAACGTTAAGGTATAATAGGTAATGTGCAAGAATTAGCACGGTATAAGAGTAAATGTCGAGTAATGCCAAAACATGCAGCTTCATTATGTAGGGAGTCAGTCAGAAAACGTGCTTCGATGACAATAAAACATGAGAAGATCAAGAGAGATCAGAAGAAATTTTACATCAAGGTAAATGACATTTCACACTGTGATTATCAAAGAAACTATTGGAACAAGCCTGATAAGATTTTAATAAGTTGCTTAGATACTGTTCATGTTTCGTGTTAAAGTTAACAGTTCTACATTAAGACGCTTTAGGTGTGAGACCATTGAATTCGAGACAAGAACTCATTCAATTAAATGGATATGGAGAAGTGAAATAGTCGATATATTCAACAAAAGTGTTTTCTGTGGATGATGGAAAATCATGCGAAAATAGAGAGGAAAGAACTGCTTCTTGTGGCACAAATTCTCGAGTCACAAAACACTCAACCGGTTGTCGCTTCTAATGTCTTCTGCCTGGAAGTTCTTTAAATGGTTTCCCTATCATTGAAGAGCGTTTGCTATATATGACTTTCTGAGTAAACACTGAGTCCAAACGTCTAAATTTCAGGTTTATAAAACCACTTGGCTTTCGAACTTTAATGCAGTTTTTCTCCTTGTACATTTTTCATTTTATCCACCATAATCGTTTTAAATGTGGTGTAAGCCAACCCAACTCCGCCTGTAACTCTTCTAGAGTTACTGCCGGTCCCAAGCCCGGGTAAAGGAGGACGGTTGGGCATGGGGTTAGCAACCCCATCACGTAGAAAAAATAACTCAAACATTTAAACTCTGACCTGGGAGTTAGAAGGTCTTCATTTAGAAGAAATATGACGCCTGATGGTGAAAGCCGAGTTCCTTCGGAATCCATGAGGCTGGTGCCCCTTCTAACAAACAAAGCAACAATTTTTATAGGTACATGGAACATCCGGACAATGTGGGAGACCGAAAAGCTCAGACAAATAGCAACGGAAATGAGGAGATACAACTTGGCAGTACTGGAAATCAGCGAAACCCATTGGACCCAAGCTGGACAACAAAGGCCAAATACGGAACAGATGCTGCTATATTCCGGTTGCGAAGAGGAAAACGCTCCACACACTCAGGGAGTTGCTCTAATGCTGTCCAAAGTAGCACGAAATGCACTTGTAGGATAGGAATCTCACGGATCCAGAATCATCAAAGCATCATTCAAAACAAAGAAGGAGGGGATCACAATGAACATTATCCAACGTTATGCACCCATCAATGATAGCAACGTTGACAATAAAGATCAATTCTATGAGAGGCTGCAATCAATCATAGAGAAGTGCCCAAGAAAGGACCTCACCATTCTGATGGGAGATCTAAACGCCAACGTCGGAATAGACAACACGGATATGAAGATATCATGGGACTGCATGGACTGGGAGAGAGGAACGAAAACGGAGAAAGATTTGTAAATCTGTGTGCATTCAACAAATTGGTCATAGGCGGCACAATATTTCCACACAAACGTATACACAAAGCTACATGGATCTCACCGGACCACACCACAGAGAACCAGATAGATCATATTTGCACCAATAAAATGTTCCGAAGGACAATGGAAGATGTGAGAACCAGGAGAGGAGCGGACATAGCTTCAGATCACCACCTGATTATGGTCAATTTAAAGCTGAAGCTAAAGAAGAACTGGACAACTGGAGAAACGGTATTACAAAGGTTCAATACAGCCTTCCTTCGAGATACTGACAAACTCAATGAATTCAAGATAGCTCTCAACAACAGGTTCCAAGCCTTACAGGATCTACTGAAGGGAGAAGAAACTACTATGGAGGATAGTTGGAAAGGTATCAAAGAAGCATTAACTTCAACGTGTCAAGAGGTTCTGGGCCCCAAGAAGCAACATCACAGGGAATAGATCTCTGTAGAAACACTAGACAGGATCACAGAAACGATGAACAAGAAGACGGCAACTAACAACAGCTGAACA